ATCTTACCAACTTTTTTGTATCTCTCCACCATTAGGAACCCACCTTAGTAGCCGCTCTCACCATCGTCTAACCTCCTTTTTATTGCTTATATATAGAATTTTTCTTTTTGCTCCAAAGGATTATCTTAATTGGTAAGATCTTCGATTCATAGTTGGAAGTCTAGTTTGAATGCTAAAGAAAAGAAATAATGGTATAAATGTATAATCATAAACAAATATATGCAAAAAGGAAAAGAGAGAGAGAGAGAGTCCAGAAAATGTTTTTCCCCAATGCCAGATGGAAACTGGCAACATAACCAAATCAGGTTTAAATAATTACCGGCCGTTAACTTTTGGCTTGGCTTGGCTCGTAAAAAATTAGCACTGTGAGGTAAGCAATGATCTATTCAAACTAGATGGTTCAAAAATCGAATGAGAGGTTGCTCAAGTCAACATGAAACGGAGCCCAAAAATTATGTATGTATTTATTGATATACTATAGTATCATTAGCTATAGTTGGGTTCTGGTACAAGGGTCTCAAATGAATTGGTTATATTAGTGTTTTTTTACAACAAAAGGAAAGTAAAAATTAAGTAGGAACATGTAATCAATTGCTAGAAGTGTGCTAGAAGTATTTTTTAATATGGTTCTAATCCTTTTCGTAAAGGTAAACCACGAGACTCTGTCTTAAGAACTCAAAAGTTATCTGTCTATACCTTTGCCCCCCTCTCCATGGCTAGATCAGGCCTCATCTTTCAACTTCTTCTTCTTCTCGCCCTATTTCATGTAACCTACAGTAGTGCCAAAGATAATCAGCACTCTTGTCCCACTTCTTCTTGTGGAAATATTCCAAACATTAGCTCTCCCTTCTGTTTAAATACCAATCAGCATAACTGTAAAGGGCTCCTAGGATATAATTTATCTTGTGAGAACAACCATAGAGTATTATATGTGGGATCAGCAAAATTGTATGTGTAGGCCATTGATTATGATAGTCTACAAATCCGATTGGTAGATACCGAGATTCAGAAAGGTAGCTGCTCCTCCATATCGCATTATTCCTTGGAGATCTGGGACGACTGGGAACTGTATTATCATCTTCCTTTCAGAAGATTTGTGTTCGAAAATTCTTATGAATATGTCGAGCTTTCAGAGGAAATTCTTTTCATAAGTTGTGGAAACCCTGTAAATGCTACTGATCTCTGTGTTGACACCTCTGCTTGCGTTAAAGCCAGTTCTTTCTCCACGTTTTACTTGCCTAAATCCAAATGCGACACAAGGTATCATTATGTGATAATCGGCCGGGTAAATCCACTAGATCAGTTAAAAAGCTCATGCCGGATTGAGCTGATATCACTTTTTCCGTTTTCATGAGAAAAGAACTATAGTAACCTCTCCTACTTGGACGTTCACCGTCAGCTGGAGTATGGATTTGAGCTCTCATGGGAAAGAGGTGATTGTGGGTACTGCAGCATCTTGGGTAGTTGCTACATATCTTGCGAAAACAACCATTGTGTTCCCTCCATTGGTAGGCAAAATTTTGAATACTATTTACTTATTTATTTTCGTTTGCTTAGATGCTTTGATATCCTTCTGTTTTGAGTTTCTTTTTTTCTTTTTTTTTTTTCTTTTCTTAATTGTTCAGGTGTTGGCTAATTTTGTTCACTTTATGCAGATTTCAAAACTCTTTGTTACGAAATCGGATTCATACTCGAACAATGTAAGT